TACAATAGGATGGAAGAAGAGGAAACCAGCGTGCGGCAATACCGCCGTTGAACTGAATCCGCTCAAAGTTTTCTTCTGTGCGCCAAGTATCAATACATTGCAAGCAGGAAGGCGCGCCAAAGGGGCAAGTCCTGAAACACGATGCGCTGAGTTCAAGGAAAATCCAGAAAGAATATAAAAAGAGCATGGTCTGATATCAAACAACCCTCACAGTGTGTCTGCAGTTAGAATCTGATACGCCCGAAAACATTTACATGATTAAATTGTAAATTAAAAAAAAAAAAAAAAAATACCTCCAGCTTTGGCAACAATCATAGCTGCTGTTCCCGCTCCCAAAATTTCGCAAAGATTTGGTGCAATCAGTGACATTCGTGACTCAACTAGCTGATACATGTTCAGGCGATCGGTGTGCAGCTTCTCGGCCATATCGCATGCTTCTTGGACTGCTGCCAACTCGTCCGGCTCCAACGCTTTCCCTTGCGTTGTAGAAGCTGTCACGCTAACTACAATACAAGTCGCCGGTGCCAAGATTTCACTGAAATTTCCATTCAGTTCTCATTAATAATATGAACGTAATATCACTGTGCTCGAAAAAAGGCTAATGGCAGGAAGTTTGGTCCTGGATGAGAACGAAATACCATGATGGACAATGTCAAATCAGCGATGTCGGGACTTGCATTTCCATCCACTGGTACACCGCAAGCTTTGGTATTAAAAGCGCAAAAGAAAGAACATATTTGGTTGAAGAAAAATTAAAACCGGGCGAATCACATGCCGAATAATCCATCAGATCCGCAGCTAAGCATACACACCAAAAATTTAAAAAAAAAAAACGAAAATCAACTGTGAATGATATGCGATACTGTTTTCCTATTTTAAATGCCTACTATACCAGGACAGCTCGAAAAATTCATGTGGCAGCCAATATGTTAGTGATGTTACTAAGATGCTCCTACACACCAAGTGCAACTAGATTAGGTCTTCGATGAGTCACACGTCTCTAGTTAATATCTATCCCTTATTCGATGTATGTGTACGATCAGTTTGGAGGGTGCCCAAGTAACCATCTGTTTTTTTTTTTTTTTTT